CGCCGGCGCCGCCGCCGGACTTTTGGTGGCGGCGGGCCATCCCTCAAACCTAGTCAAACCCTAACCCTAATCTTCATGGAAAAAGATGATCTTAATGAGTTATTTTTTCATAAAGGGTTATGTATCCAAACCCATTAAGACTTAAGTTTAATGAAACGGGTTTGACCCGCAAACAGAACCCAAACCCGAAACCTTGATAATTTGAATTTTACTGTAAAATTATTATTAGACCCCTTTTTGACCCAGAAACTATTCTGAAGTCCACCAGTATTGATTTTTTGCTGTAAAATTAGTTTCAGCCCCCTGTTTAAACCAGAAACTATTCTGGAACCCATCTGAAAGAAGTGATTATTTTCTTATTAACCCTTAAGAGCTGCAGAAACTATTCTGAAGCCCACATACATGTATAATTTATTTTCTAATGTTGAAAAGATTATTTACCTCTTATTGATTGATAATGTATCATTGTATTTTTTGAAATACTTATTTAAATTATGCATGTAACATGGTTGCATTATTTTTAAATTGTTTAATTTTAATTTTTCATGAGATTAAAGTAATACATGGAAAATTATTAATATGTCCAGAATTGTTCTGAATTTTCTCTTTTAAATAAAACAGTTTAGAATTTATTAGAAATTGACTGTTGTTATTTTCTCTCAATTATAATACATAACAAAAGTTGTATAGAAGTGTAGATAGATTAATATTTAAGAAATATAAATCTAAAGGTCTTCCATCATAAAGATATAACTTAGATAATAATATTTTAGCTTATCTGATGCCACAAAGGATAGGGTTTGTTAAAATTTATTATCTAGTTATGTTTTGCATAAGGATGCCAAGTGTTTTATATATAATGGGACCACTAGACTAAAATAGGTAGTGCCACATGTTTTATATAAGATAGCTGGATTGATGGGTAAACACTTCATTGATGTCTTGGGATGCTTGCTAAAATAGTAGAGTCATGTCATACATCAAAGACCAAAATTAAAGGAAAGTCATTAATTGTTAATGATTGAATAAACTGATTCTACTTTATTTAATTATATTCGATCTTGAAAATCTGGAGGTTTATAATTAAGCTTGGATTTCCTGTTCACATTTTTTTTTTGTATGAAAGAAACATATTAATGTGAATATCATTACTTAAATTATCCCTAGTAATGATTGTGCAATAATAAAATGTAAAATTAATATTCTTATGTTATTATGTTCTGCTTGTGTAGGATGACTAAGTTTAGTCCTTTTGCTAAGCTTCTTGATGACTATAAACTGACTGGCCCAAATTATGTGGATTGGAAAAGAAATTTGTTTATCGTCCTTACTGCTGAAAAATTGGCAAAAGTTGTCAAAGAGGACGTGAACCTGGTCCTGATGCAACAGAATATGAGATTCTCGAGCATGATGAATGGGTTGAACATAATGAACTTGCAAAGTGCTATATTATAGCTTCCTTAGACCCTACTTTACAAAAGCAACATGAAGGAAAGAAGACTTGCAAGGAGATCTTGGAAAGCCTTAAGGCTTTGTACGAAGAACGTAATCGTACTGCACGTCAAAACGCTATGAGTGGTTTGATGAACACCAAGATGGCTGAAGGTACACCAGTTCAGGCCCACGTTCATAAGATGATTGGGTACATAAATGAATTGGAATCCTTGGGAGCCGAGCTGGATAATGAATCAAAAGTTGATACAATTCTTGCTTCACTTCCTCGATCCTTTAATCAATTCAAAGTGAATTTCATTTAGTGAGACATGAAATGGTGTGACTTTGCAACAATGCTGAGAGCATTGAAATCACACATATATCGAACCCCACTACATGACTATTAATTATAATAGTCATTCATCTCCGACTAACAAATAATATAATCCCTCCGAATTGCACTAATTTTAATCGTATTATAATAGTCATTCATCTCCGACTAACAAATAATATAATCCCTCCGAATTGCACTAATTTTAATCGTACAAGCTCACTAAACATTGATCAGATTTGAAGGACAAATTTAGGAATATAACAGATTAACGGGTATATAGGTAAATAACTCCATACAAGCAACTGGGTGATAACTGAAATCTTTTCAATGAAACTCGTCTACTAGATGTTATGTAAAAGAAAAAAATGAATTCACAGATCTTACAAAATCAGATCAACCTCTGATCTACATACAATCCAACTATCCAAGAACTCACAGTTCAAATTAAGTGCAATATTTAAAGAAGTAACAAAAAAATTTCAGAAGTAAAAAAGTAATCTTTCGGACATCAAGAGGCTGCTCGCATCCATCCAGAGCAACTTAGCACCGATCTTATCAATTCAAAAAGAAAAAAGAAAAAATGAATTCTTAGATCTTACAAAATCAGATTATATAGCAGCGGTTCGTTAGAGCGGTTACACTGATTAGTAGCATCTCACCGACGCGTCATTATCAAGAGATTGATTATCAAACCGTAGTCATAACATTAATATTACTCGAGTAACTTTTGGGTAATTAACTGCACATAATTAACCGTTAGTAATATATATAGCAGCGGTTTGTTGGAGCAGTTACACTGCTCAGTAGCATCTCACTGACGCGTCACTATCAAGAGACAGATTATATCAAACCGTAGTCATAACATTAATATTACTTGAGTAACTTTTGGGTAATTAAATGCAAATAATTAACCGTTAGTAATATATATAGCAGCGGTTTGTTGGAGAAGTTACACTGCTCAGTAGCATCTCACCGACGCGTCATTTTCAATTTGTTAAACAGAAAAGAAAACAGCCTCACCGCGCGCGGCGTTTCTTGATGAAAATTGAAATCAAGAAGCTGGAAAAAAAAGAAAGAAAAGAAAAAAAATTGAACTCTCTGATCTTACAAAATCAGATCAACCTCCTCTGATCTACATACAATCCAACTATCCAAGAACTCACATTAAGTACAATATTTGAAGAACTAACAAAAACAACAACAACAACAACAACAACAACAACAAATTTTTTGGAAGCAAAAGTAATCTTTCGTTTATATCCACATCCTCAGTGATTTTATTAAGAAGAGGGTAAGTCCACATCCTCAGTGATTTTATTAAGAAGAGGGTAAGAAGCTGCCTACTACTCAAGAACAGAGAAAAATGAATTCTCAGATCTTACAAAATCAGATTAACCTTTGATCGATGTACAATCCAACTATCCAAGAACTCA